GTTTTGGTATCTTGCTGAGATTATTTGCCATATTTCTCATCAAATTCGACGAATTGAAATTTAAATCTTTAAAAAAGTTCACACTTCGTTTCTTTTTTGAATTTCATATATATGCTAAAATATATAAAAAATAAAAAAATAGTTGAACATAAAAGTTCAACTTTTTTTCAACGTGATTTTAAAATGCGCAGCTATTTCTACTCTTTTATTAAACTCTTTTTTTTTTTTTTGTGAATACTTTTTTGACTTGAATGTGAGTATACACGATACTCTAAAGTTATAAAGTTATATTTGATAAAATATATATATATATATTTTTTTGACCCTTGTAAGTCGAAGTGGCAATTTTGACTTAAATTTCGCATAAATTTCTCGACTTAGACGCGAGAGTTTACGGTTATACATTTAACAATAAAAAACTAGAAAATTTTAAATAATTAATAATGCTTTGAAATAAAATGACCCTGTATTCTTAACTTTAAAGTGAAGAATAAAAGTTCATTCTAAAGTGAAGAATGCAAGGTCATTTTATTGTCAAATAGGGAAAATATTTTATTGTCAAATAGAAAACATTTTATTGTCAAATAGGGAAAATGTCAAATAGGGAAAATGCACTTGCAAAAGATCAGAGGCAGACAAATGAAAAATGCGTTTTTCAGAAAAAGACTTTTTGATGGAATAATAGTGGTAAAAACTCTTTCTTTTAGGGGTAGAAAGATACTTGCGTTAAATGTTATGGCTAAGAATACAGAGTTTAAAAAGGATGTAAAAACCAGACAGATCATAAAAACAAAAGGGAAAATATAGATTTGCATCCTTTTATTGTCTTTGGAGAAAAGATCCATTTGCACCCTTCTGCCTCTAAAATCTTTGGATTTGCATCTTTTTTTTTCTATACATGTTTGTCTAAGATGTCTTCTAGAGTATAGTACAACCATTATTCGATATACGAATATTTTTAAGATTTTTTGTTAAGCGGTAATTAATATTTGTTCGTTTTTATTTTAATCGTTGAACGATTGCTAAAAGAATAAAAATCGTTCAACATATAAATGTTTTACAAATATTTAAATTAAAAAGAAAAGTTAAACAAATATATTCGTTTCCACTTATTATTAGTTGAGCCATGGTTAAACAAATAAAAGAATTGTTCAACAAATTAGCGATAGCGAATATATTTGTTAAATAAAAAAGTGAAACTTAGTATAGTGGTCTTTAGCTTAGTTAAATCTACAACGTTTCTCAGATATAGTTTGCCACATCCCAGAAATTGGTGTTTAATAATATTTTTTATGTATTTTTTAATTTAATTCGTTGAACAAATATTTATTGATAAATATTAAGTAAAAGAGAACTAATAAAAGGGAACGAATACTTTGTTCCCTTTTCTTTATTCAACAAATATATATTTGTTAAACGGTTTTTATTTATTAAACGAATATATGTATTGCAAACATATTCGAACTCTACAAATAAATGATTAGTTTTAAAGAACATTTTTTAACAAATAATTTAAACGAATACTCTGAAATAACTATTCGTAAATCGATATTCTATAAAAGAATAATTGTTGCACTCTATTCTAGAACATTAAAAATATTACAAATGGCTAACAACATACACTCTAAAAAAAAAAGGTAAAATTTTCTACCTTAGGGTAGGATATGTTATATACCCTTAGTAAAATATATTTGGAGATTATATGTACTCTTTGTAAGGTATAATTGGAAATGTGATATACCCTTAGTAATGTATAATTTTCTACCTTTAAAGGTAGAAAATTATACAATACTAATCTTATGTCTTACTAAGGGTATATCACATATCTTACCTTAAGAAGAACTTTCAACCTTTTTTTTAGTGTTTATATATTTTTACAGTCTGAAGATGAAACAGCAACTTAAAGCATTTAGAAACAGCAACTTAAAGCTTAAAGTAACAAAATGTCAATAAATACTTTACTAGCATCAATGTTAATTTTATATTAAAATTATTTTCTGTTATTGTTATTATTTTCTGTTATTGTTAGCAAATATATTTGTTAAATAAAAAAGTGAAACTTACTATAGTGGTCTTTAGCTTAGCTAAATCTACAACGTTTCTCAGATATAGTTTGCCACATCCCAGAAATTGGTGTTTAATAATATTTTTTATGTATTTTTTAATTTAATTCGTTGAACAAATATTTATTGATAAATATTAAGTAAAAGAGAACTAATAAAAGGGAACGAATACTTATTTATAAAATTATTTTCTGTTATTGTTATTATTTTCTGTTATTGTTATTGTTATTTTATTTATTTTGTTATTTTACTTTCTGGTTATTTTCTGAATCACAATGTGAATAACAGTTTTTTTGAATTTCTTTGTTTTGTACAAACAGTCCGAACAAATCTAGAACAGACGATGTCATAATGCAATCAACTTTTCCAAATTTGATGGTTGATTTAGAAGAAAATTTACAAAATTAATACATAAATTCTGTGTATACTAAATATTATGATAGTAGGGAAGAGTACATGAGGACTTTTTTTAAGTTAGTTTTACAGAACGAGCATTTTTTGAGGCCAAATTCGATGTTGAACATGAGTCCCTAATCATTTTGCTGTACTACGTCGTTTGATGTCGGATCGCGGCCATTTTTTAAAATAGCCGCTGTAATGATAATTTATTCTTATCCCTACATCTTGATCCAGATTAGACCTTGTGATATGTCCACTCTATTGTTTTCCGTAAAATTAAAGTATCAACAATGGTTTATTTTATATGCGAATAAAATGCTACAATTTACAATTTTAAGACATTTTAAAAGTTAAGATATTGATCAGTAACTCGAATCGCAGTGATTCAATTTCTGCATTTTGATTTGTCTATTGTCCAATTACACACGTCTTTTTGGTCTAATATCAGGAACTGCAGAGAGGCACAAATAATATGTTCGCTGAGAAGCTGACTTTCTGATAATGAGTTTAATATTTCAATATCAGACTGTGTCACAGTTTCTCCATGTTTTTTACAACCTTCCAGCACTTTGAAAGTATTTGAATTTTTCTGCTTTTTCAGTTCTTCCTTTGTCACAATAGATAGTATTCGTTGCTATAAAGCCTTTTTTTAGTTTTGCCTGCTTAACCTCATCATTAGTCCTCGCCTATTTCATTTCTTTTCTTGTCCCCGCATGCAAGCTCGGTAAAAGATGAATCTCTGAGTAGACCATTTGTCATTGCAACATTTTTTCTTGGTAATGCAGTGATGGTTGTCCCCATATATTTTGACTCGGTTGTCAAGTTTTGTGAACTCTGATTCACACCCTGGGTTGATGAGAGGCAAACGATAACCGGATTTTTGAAGTCCATTTTAGATAACTGTCTATTGAGCGTTTCTAATACTTCGCCTGAAAGGAGTAGCAGGAAATACTTGGGAGCCAATTTTAACTTAACATCACTCTATAAAATGTAAGTGGAACGCAGAAAATAACGTACCTAATTCTAATATTGCTAATAAGTGGCTCTACCAAAAATGTTTTAATGACAAGTTTAATTAGCCTTTTCATCCACGTGGATGAAAAGGCTAATTAAACTTGTAAAGTTAAAATCACAAGTATTGCATGTATCATTGCACGTACGTGCAATTATACATGCAATACTTGTGATTTTTATAATATGTTACTAAACAATTCCAAATTTGGAATTGTTTATTCTATATGCTTCATTTATGTTTTTTTCTGCATTGTTTTAAAACAATGCAGAAAAAAACATAAATGAAGCATATAGAGGAAGCAAAATAAACATCAAAGCTAAATATGCATGGTATAAGGGGTAGATCCATTATTTTTAGTATAAGGGGTAGATCCAGCTATTTAGATAAACGTGTGCAATATGTATATTACGAAGGCAATACCCAGCAAGCACAACCATAAGGGAACAAACCGGGAACCGTGCGGAATTTGGCCGCGGGATCTATATGGGGACCATACGGGCTAAATTAAAAAAAAACGAAAAACTTATCGGCTACTTTTTCTTTTTTCCCGCATTGATCCCGAATTTTTCCCGGATATACTTTATTATTTTTTACGATTTATAACTTAGATTTTTTATACCTTAAATTATTAATTCGTTTACAGCAATATTTTCCATTTTGAACAAATTAAATGATCAATTTAATCATGATTTTTTTTTTAAGTTTTAAAAGCTAAGTGTTTATATGCAAATTGAAAACACAAGGACATATACATGTACGTTTTATTAACAAAATAAACTATTATTACATACGTAATAAATATATGTACAAGTGTTCTATGCAGATTACTTTACGTTACATGTTTACTGCAAAGTATATATTTTGCATTCTATATGTTCTTCTCTGTGTTAGATGCTGCTTTCGAAATTCGTTCTTTTCGTCCATCTTTGCCTCTTTCTCGAGCATTGCCAAACCAAGAAGAAGTGCTTCTTGAAGAAGTTTTTTTGATAAATTTTGTTTTGCTGAATAGTTTTATTTTGCGGCACCTAAACATACGTTAGCTGAAATAGAGTGCAAAAGAAATGCTACTATAGTAACATTTCTTTTGCAATATATTTTATCCAAAAATATGGCTTTCGGTGGTCTCGACATAATATGTCGATATTTATTACTATAAAAAAATCGAGATTTATTACTATAAAATATTATGATTTGATTTAGTGAGTATTGCATGTAAATCAAATCATAATATTTTATAGTAATGTGTTGAGGCCAACTTAAGCCATACTTTTGATGACCTTAACTAGTCATTTTTCAGACACTTTAATTCATAATAAGTCTTAAATATATATAAAAAGTTCAAAATATTTTGAAAAAAAAATTATTAACATAGGATAGGGTAAAAGTACCAATATTTTTTTCACTACATAATATGACAATTAAAAAAATCAATGTACTCAATAAAAGAAAATAAGGAGAGCATATGATATAATATACTTACAAAACATTATTTAAAAATAGCTGCAATGGCTGAAATGGTTTTATATTTTTCTGGCCAGTTAGGTTATATTTTCGTGCCAGTTTATAAGAAAATAAATACTTCATGTTCCTTCTTACAAAATTTGTTACATTCGTACCACCATTATTTACAAGGACCTGAACCTGACAATAAAATTACAAAAACAAATTACAAAATCAATAAAGTAAATTAAAGTGATAAATGATAGCGATTCAAAAATTATAACTTTTTAATTACATGGTTTTAAAAAAAAGACAAAAATAAAATCAGTTAACATTTAGGGCAAGCTCTGTTTGTGTAAATAATTTTTTAAAATAGTTTCATGTTTCTCATGAAAAAGACATGAAAAGAACATGAAAGACATGAAAAACAGATTTACTAATATCCAACTTGATATATTTAAAAATTTAAACCTAAACTTTATTTAATATATATTAAATGTAAAAAACCTTAATAATTTACCAAATATTTTTTAAACTCTCTTTTATAAACTCTCTAATATGTTTTAAATAGAGTGTGGTGTATCTCAAGAGTGTACCTCAATACTTTGGTCTTTGATTTTCTCAATCTATGTAAACAATCTCTGTATGGCATCAAAAAAGATTTCAGCTATAATGCTTGCTGACGATAGCAACTTTTTAATCTTTGGAAAACATATTAGCAAGCTGTGCGTAGAAATGAACATTAAATTAGAAAAAATTTCACAATGTTTTAAGGCAAACAAACTCTCTATTAACATTACAACGATTAGCGCATTTTGAGCAGAGCAGATGTGTTGAAAAACAAAAAAAAAATATTGATAACTAAATTAAATATTTTGGTTTATGAGTTAAATATATGTATATATATATATATATATATATATATATATATATATATATATATATATATATATATATATATATATATATATATATATATATATATATATATATATATATATATATATATATATATATATATATATATATATATATATATATATATATATATATATGAATTTACATATATATATATTATATATCTATAAACATATAAACCAACATAAACATATAAACCAACATTTAAGAACATAAAAAATGGATAACGATAAAGTAATTACGATGGGAATGCTTCGAGAACTCATGTCAATACAAGGAGATACAATTTTCAAATGCTTTAAAGAAAGTTTGGTCAAGTTGGTCCTGGAAAAAGTTGAGAACTTAGCCAAAGACATTGAAGAAATAAAACGTGGGCTTACTTTTGTTGGTGATCAAATTGAGACAAAAGTAAGCAAGGTTGATAGTAAAATGGCAGAAATTAAAGAAATTATTGTGGGTATTAAATCATTCCACGGAAAATTAAGCAGAGATTTTATTGAAATTAAAAGAAAAGCAGAGATTCGATTGAAAATAAAAGAAAAACTGTCGATCTTGAGGATCGAAACCGACTTAACAGTTTAAGAATTGTTGGAATTAAAGAAGAAAATAACGAATCTTTTAATGATGTTGTAAAAAAAGTAAACCTACTAATTAAAGAAGACCTTGAAATTGCGGGTCCAGTTATTATAGAAAGAGCGCATCGTGTCGGTAAGTCTAGTGGAAAGCCTAGAACTATTGTCTGCAAAATATTAAACTGACAGGACAAGGAAAACATTTTATCTAACGCTCGTAAACTCAAGGGGAAAAATATAAATATATTAACGAAGACTATAGTGATGAAACAATGCGAATTCGTAAAGAACTTTTTGTACAAGCTAAAATACATCGTGGTAACGGAAAATACGCGAAAGTCATTTACAATCGATTAGTGGTAAGATATATGATAAACGAGAACGAAGGTTTTGAAAGCAAGTAATTTATTTATTTACGTTTTAATAGTTTCATTAGATATTAAATTTTAAGGTTTATATTTACAGATAATATTAACAATGAATATATCTAAAACAATTCATAATAATGAAGCAAATTTAACAAAATTAATATCTCCAATTTTTGAAATTTTGAAATATAGCAAAAATGATTATAATTTTTTGACTGAAGTAGATATTAAATGCTTAAATAATGAATACTATAAATCGGAAGAATTTAAGAGAAAAAAGCTTAGCGGACTTTAAAACGGCGCACCCCAAACTCGGTAAACAATGAAAGCTTTCGTTACGAAAATTCTCGGTAAATTATACTGCATATTTTACAGAATGGTAAAACCGCGCCGTTACGACAAGTGCCAAAATGGCTTCCTCGAAAGAAAAAAACAAACTTTTTAAAACCATTTTTAAAATTTAAAACTCTAATTTAAATATTTACAAATCAAATATAAACATTTACAATTATAAATTAAAACATTTGCACCTATACTACTGATATTAGAATTAAAATAAGTAGAAGTTTTATTAATTTAATAAGTTTTTTTTTAAGGCTTTATTATTTTAAGTAAGGTTTTACTATTTTACAAAGGCTTACTTGAGAAATATTTTGTAATAAGTTAAAAATTTACACAAAATATTAAAAAAAGTTATGTATAGGTGCTAACAGTCTTAAATAAACAATTACAATATATTATTGCTTTTAAAATAAATGTTCTGATATTCTTTATTACTTATCTTTCACTAACTTTTTTTTTTATTCGAAATTTTCACCATCTTTCAATCTTCAAATGTCTTTTTTTTCTTAATCTCGTCGTTTTAAGCTTTTTTCCATGTATGTTCTTCTCATCATCAGTATGTCTATCTTCTCATCATCAGTGTAACACAATATATGATCATTTGAGAAAATTTGATCCAGGAACATAATGAAATTTTGCCATAAGTCTTTTTTTTTAAACTCATAATATTCCCTATATACTGCCTCATCCAACCTTGACAATTTCATATCACCTTGAGAACCAAAAGCAATCTTTGGGTTTGTTATTGTCCCTATTTCAGGGTCGACAAAGTTTGTGGTATGGTTAACAGTTGAATGAATATAGCCTAAGTTGCTTAAATTATTGTACGAAGCCCATTCATCTGATTGTATAGTTGCAGTTCAATCCTCTACCCTAGTCAAATACTCTTTTTTAAGTTGTTCTATCATAAGCCCCAAAAATCCAATGCTTTTCAACGTTGTGACCTACATTATAATTGCGTTTGAAAAACAAAGATTCATCAATTTAAACTATGTGTCCTGGACCTCCCAGCTGGTTTACAGCTGTAACATTTAAAACTTTGAATGAGCAGATGTCTTTGAAATACTAATACCACTGAACTGAAGTTGGTTGGCTTATCCCTACTAATTCAGCAGCAGCAGTAACAGGGACCTCTGAAACCCATATTAACATAAGTAGAAGTATATCACTAACACTTAAAGATGTTGAACATTCGAAAAAACCACTTCGTATAGTCTTCGTCTTCTTACAGCTGCAGCATCACCAAATGTGTTTATCCTTAAAAAAAAAAAAGCATCAGAAAAAGTTTAAACAAAATCCAATTTATTAGGATTGGATTCTATGAAGTAATTTAATCCTTATAAAAGAAAATAATAAATTAAATAAAACTTTAGCTTGTTTACTTTTTAAATACTAATCTGATTAGCCTTGTATTAAATGTCATTTGAATTATTATGATACGATTAAATAAAATATTTATGACATAATACCATGAAACATGGTATGATTAAATATGATATTTACTTACTAGACACCGCTCAAATCTTTGAATAGTCATTTGCTGACCACAGATACAAGATACAAGAAAAGTTGAAAACGTGGTTAAGTCTAATTTAATTTATTAGCCAATGAAAATCGACTTTTAATTTTCGTAACGAAAATTTTCGTTGTTTACCGAGTTTGGGGTGCCCCGTTTTAAAGTCCGCAAAAAGGTTAACAAAGACTTAAACATTTTAAGTATACTATGTACGTAGTTGTATGTAGTACGTAGTTGTATGTATGTACGTATGTATGTATGTAGTTTTAAGTATATATTTAAATATACGTTCAATGAACAAAAATTTTGAATCATTTAAACATTTTTATTATTCTTTAAATTTTCTTTTTGACGTAATATGTATATCAGAAACTTGGGAAGATGCAAACTTGCCCATGTCAGAAAATTCCCTATACAATTTAGTTTCATACAAAATGATAAGTCAACCACGTGTAAACAGCAAGGGAGGTGGCGTTGCAGCGTATATTCTTGATAAATTTGAATTAAAAAAAAGCAGCACTTTTTCAAAAACAAATAAACATATTAAAACTTTGTGCATTGAAGTGTTAAATACTTCTGGTAAATCGTTTTTAATCTCCTCATTGTATCGACCGCCATGTGGTAAACAAGTTAACTTCCTTAATATCTTAAAAACTTTTATGCCTCAAATGAGTAAACAAAACAAGGGCGTTTTTTTTGCCGGAGATACAAATATGGACGCATTAAGTTATGAAAAGTTTGCAAACATAAAAAATTTTTTCAATTTACTATTTGAATTTAATATAATACCCACCATATTTAAACCCACGCACATTACTAATCAATCATCTTCTGTGATTGACAATATTTTAACAAACTGTTCCCTAAATACTAAATTTGAATCAGGACTCTTTATTGCAGACTTTTCTGATCATTTTTCTGTTTCCCATATTGCACGCAAAGTACTATCTAATATCGACAATAAAAAATGCTTTTTGAATTAAAGAAATCTTTCTATAAAAAACTTAAATAATTTTAAAAACAAACTACAAGTAGAACATTGGGATAAAGTATACTCAACAACAGATCCTAACATTGCGTTTGACCATTTCTCAAACACAATGCAAATATCTTTGATAATGTATGTCCGAATATAACTACAGAAATAAAAAACAAAGAATATAAGAATCCATGGATGACAATAACTTTAATTAAAGCATCAAAAAGAAAACAAAAACTTTACTAAAAATTTAAATTTTTATCTACTTTAAATTTTTGAAATCAAAAAATAAAGTAGATAAAAAAATATACAAAAATTATAAAAAGTTTTTTCAACATAGTATGAAAGAAGAAAAAATAAGGTATTTTTCTAATCAGCTTGACAAGCATAAATTCGACATAAAAAGGACTTGAGCTGTTATAAACGAACTAACAGGATGAGAGAAAAAGAAGCACACTTGCTTACCACAAAAACTAATTTCCGATAAAAAAAATTATAACAAGTACAACAAAAATATGCCAAGAATTTAACAAATATTTTGTTAATGTAGGCCCCTCTCTTGCTTTTAACATTGTGCAACCAAATAAAACATTTGATAATTTTTTGGAGAAAAACCCACCACTAGTATAAATAATGAAAAGATAACTAAAATTGAATTTAATAAAGCAACTATCGAACAACAAGTCATGTGGATATGATGGTATTTCCAGTAATGTAGCAATTTATATAATGGACAGCATAGTGAACCATTATTTTATTTAATATCATTTTCATTCGAAAATAGTATATTCCCTAACAAACTTAAATTAGCCAAAATTAATCCGATTCTCAAAAAAAGGTGATTGCAATAATGTTTCCAACTACCGACCTATTTCTCTTCTTCCAGTACTTTCAAAAGTATAAGAGAATAACATATAACAGAGTAAACAATTACTTTATATTAAACAATTTATTATACAAAAATCAATTTGGGTTTCAAGGTAGGTGTTTTACTGAACATACTATAATTAAACTTGCTGACAAAATATTCAAGTCGTTTGATAGTGATGAGCTGGTATTAGGAATTTTTGTTGATCTTTCCAAGGCCTTTGATACGATTGATCAAAGTATTTTACTTTCCAAGCTAAGATACTACGGTATAATAGGCTCAACATTTAAGTGGATTAAAAGCTATTTGTCTAACAGAAAGCAATTTGTATTACTAGAAAAGTCAGGAGCCCTTGATATTACGTGTGGAGTTCCTCAGGGTTCAGTCCTAGATCCATTATTGTTCTTAATTTATATTAACGATTTGCATAAAGCATCCCAAAAAATATCTACAATTATGTATGCTGACGATTCAAATTTATTTTTTAATCATCCTAATGCAAAGACTTTGTTTGAAACTATGAATATTGAACTTGAAAAATTTAACCTCTGGTTCATTCCAAATAAATTATCCCTAAATTGTCAAAAAAACTAGTTTTACCCTTTTTCATAAAAAAAAAAAAAAAATCAATTAATCTCCCTTTAAAGCTTCCTAAACTGCTTATTAACAAAAATGAAATCAAACGTGAAAAATGTACAAAATTTTTGACAGTGCTTTTTGATGAAAATTTGTCATAGAGAAACCATATTGGTCTCCTTGAAACAAAAATGTCCTCTGTAATAGGCGTTTTGTATAAGTCGAGACATTTTCTCGATAGTAAATTTCGTAATATGCTTTACTTTAGTCTTGTACATAGTCAACTTTTGTACGCAAATATTGTATGGGCCAGCACCCATAAAACAAAACTGCTAAAATTGCAAAGCCTGCAAAACCATGCATGCAAAGTAATAAACTATTTAAATAGGTTAATAAACCCGGCCCCAGTGATGAAAAGCATGATGGTTCTAGATATTGAGAAGCTTAACACATTACAGATATTATGTATGTATACAGATATATGTATAAGTATAAGAACAACCTCCTATCCGTTTTTTCAGATATATATCTGATATCGTTTTCTGAAAATTATAATTTGCGTTCAAATGCCAGGTACAACTATCACTTAGGAAAAATTGATTCACATCAGTCAAATTTTTTAATTATAAACCGTGGCCCATCAACATGGAATCATTTCCAAAATAAAAATATTAAAGACCTAAAAAGCATTTCATCGTTTAAACGGGAAACTAAAATGCATCTTCTTAATTCCTGACATATATATTTGTTTAATTTACAGTTTTTGTTTTTATTTTGTTTTTTTTTTCCGTCTTCTTCTTATTTTTCTTGTTTTAATATTTTTTGTTTTTGAATTTGTTACACTAAAAAAATATGAGCTTTGTTTTTATTGAATTTTTATTTTATTTTTAAAAATTAAATTGTCTTTATAATGAGTGACTATAGGGGCTCTATGTAAAGGTTGTGATGTTAAACACATCATCCTTACCTTCTTTGAGTCACTGACTGATTAGAACAGAATATACATAATATAAAATAAAAAATTATGAAAAAACGTTTTTTATCATGTTTATCTTTACGACGTGTATTTTATGTATTTTTTACATGATTATATGAAAATTGTTATTGTAACTGTTTAATCAGCAAAATAAAAGTATATATAATGATAAAAAAAACAACATATAAGTAAAATAGAGAAATAAGTAGGGATACTGTTACAAAATATTTGGGTGTTTTTATTGACGAAAATCGAAAACAAAATAAACATATTGCTTATTTAGTAAAATATCAAAAAGCATAGAAATAATATATTAGTATATCATACATTTTACAGGTAGAGAGGATTTTAAGAATGTATCATCTTTGCTGTGGATCCCAATTGCCATTTAAAAGCAGAAAAAATTATGAACGGAAAAGAATTTCTTATGTTTCAGGTTGTTTGGTTGCATGCGGAAAAGAAGAAATCAGGGTGTTTAATGTATAAAAGTGATTTTATTGATGACGGAGACATGGATTTTGCCAGTGGCAGATAAACAGATAGCTCTGTTTATCTGCCACTGGCAGATAAACAGATCTATCTGTTTATCTGCCGGGGGTATGTAATCGCCCCCCCCCCACCTGAATCTGAAAAATTTTCTTAGAAATAGAGGACCTTTTTTTTAAAAAAAAAAATTAAAAAAGTTATGTATATCCGACTCACCGTTCATGAAATCTTTTAGATTTTGTAAAAATTGTTCAGCTAGCCTATACTCTCTGAAAAAATTGCTTAGCTAGCCTCTACCCTACTGAAAATTTACCATTTCGGATTTGCAATAAACATATTATAATTTAATATTATAATAGTTAAATATATTATTCTCAAAAACATTTTGTTTAAATAAATAATAGTTTAATGTATTATTCTCAATACAACAATTGAAACTTAATCAAGCTTCATTCGGTTTTATCCGAGCAAAACCAATAGAGCTTTAATCTGCTGATGCACTACAAATAAGCAACGTCATGTATATTTTATACATCGTTGTGATATTTGGGTAAATGTCACAGAGATCATTAGTTAGTATAAATTTTAACATATTGTTAATGTTCAACTCTGCCGTGTCCATTTCCTTAAAAAGAATTCTGAATGAAAGAAACTCTTGAACAACATCATTCAGAGTTGTTATATTAATTAGATATTGCTCTGAGAGAAATTTGATAAGTTTTAAGCTATCCTCATCATCATAATGCTTTGGATCTAGACATTTGAGCTTTGAAGCAATCTTCACGAATCGTTGAAATCGATTCTTTATTGTGCTGACCCCAGAGTCTAGTGAGACCAGGTAAGTATCAACCACAAAACTCTTTCTGGCATCTTTTTTTCTCTCATCAATTACAACCTCGTCATAATGTTGTTTCTTCTTTCCAACTCTTTTCTGCTTATAAGCTGTTGCTATGTTGCATAATAAAGAAAGGTCATTGGCTTCTTTTTCCATATCATTTAAACTAGCATCATAGTTTTCTCTAATATTGTTAAGTTGAGATTCAATGATTTGGATGTAGCTGGCAACAACAACCATGTTTATAATACTCTCCTGTAAGTATTGAGACAAATGAAAAGCCATTTTTAGCAGCTTATTCCAAAAGACTGCAGGTGTATTGC